TTTCAGTCCTTTCTCCCTTTCCACTGCTATTATCTATTATCCTCGAGGTCTTTCTATAGCAGTATCTCTGGATTGAGGTTCACTGCTTTCTCAGTAGACTCTGTACCCTCCAGAGACTGCTCAGAGGATGTTGAAGTGTCATCGACTTTAAACTTGGAGACAATCCTGGCAGTTTCCTGTGTGATCTCAAAACGTTTGAGTTGCTGTTTCCCACCTGAGTGGCACTTGAGTGTGCTCGTGTCTGGTGTGCTGTTCCTACTCCTACTGCTCTCCTCCAGGCTGTCCTTTGTTGCGGAGCTGCTGTCGTTAGGGTTGCGTTCTGCACCAAACTCCGTTGCCATGTTGGATAAAGTAGTAGTCCTCAAAGGCAAACTGGAAGACTTGGGAATGACTGGTCTCATTTTTGCCTGTGTTCGAATATATTTTACTGGCTGTCGGCTGAAATGACCTCTGGGCTGGGTCCCTAGGACCATGTCCAAATCAGTGTCTGTCTTTTCCTGCACAGAGTCCTCCAGGTCCTCCAGCTCAGAATCAATACTTCTATTCATCTCTGAACAAAAAATTAGAGAGTTATCTTAGGATGGTGAGACATGGTTACTGTGACAGTCATAAATACAGTTTTGGTTGATGATTTCTTTTCCTAGTAGAAAGGATACTGAAAGCCCTTCCGTGTTGCCAGCCTAAAAATCCTCCCGCTAACAACTTTATTAATCAGGAGCAATTGCAAAGATAAGCATTTGAAAGAGGTGTAACATATGAATCAGGCTTATATTCTTAATGCTGTCTGTAATACATTAAAGCAAGGACAGTTTGCACGTGACTGCGTCTGAGAGCTGAGGCAGTACAAGGAAAAAGCCCTTCCTGAGAGCAGTGGAAAATGTGCTTGCACTTTCAGGCAAAGGTGGTCGTTGTTCTGCAGCAGATAATCTGTACAAAGAGTGAAAGGGCCCAGCTATGCTTTCTCTGCTGTGTAATGTAGAGGCAGACAGAGACAGGTGTGAAAACCAGCAAACACAAAGCAAGACAACCTATACCAGCCCCATGATCACCACTTTTACCTGGGGCATCCGTGTTTAATGGACTGTAGGCTCTCTCCAGAGTCAGCTCATTGATGGCTTCCCTGGAAGACGAGTTATCAGACACATAGTCCACATTTAAATCATGCTTGGAGGAGAAATTCTGTTGGAAAAAGCCATGAGTGTTTATACAGGACTCTCATTTGATAGGAGGATACTATCCACTCCTACTTCACCCCAAATGTTGTTATAGCCAAGTGAACGGAGGCAACTGCTTAAGCTAAAAATGCCTTAATTTGTCTTAGTTTACCAATAATGCTTGATCTGCCTGGTTCAACAAGACGGAGATGCAGCATGGCCTGCAAAATATGCTGGCTTTGAGCCTGTTCAGGAAAAAAACAAGTTTGTATTACAAGTGCATCTAGAGACCCCTGCTCTGCTAGATCTTGTGCTTACATGTCTAGTGAACAGTCCCTATCTGGAAGTGCTTGTGGTCTAAATAGACAGTGTGTGTGTGTGTGTGTGTGTGTGTGTGTTTGTGGGACAGGGGTTTGAAAAAATAGGGAGGGAGCTTGCAGAAAGTCATAGGGCAGGGCCATGAGAGCAAGTTATGGTTCAAGACCAGCGGAGTCCAGCACCCAGGCCAGCAGACTGCAACAACTGCCACAAAACTCACCCCAGAAAGCAGACGTTGCTTTCTGTGGAGAAGCAGTGTGCTGAGACTGAGATCCTTGTGTCCTACATGACACTGAAATAGCCTATTTTAAAACGAGAAAGGGAAACATCAGGCATCAACGTTAGCTATAGCAAAGTAATTATGATCACATACAAATGGGAGGATGAGTCAATAACATAGAAATTCTTGGGAGTCATAGCTCATATGGAACCAGTGCAAGTTCACACAAGGATTATGTCACCTGAACAGGGGCTCCAGAAGCTGGTTTTATTAATTACAAAATGAGAGTTACATTAGAAGCAACTCTTCTTTTCAAAGGTTTACAACACCTTTTGTAGAGTTCAGTTATGCTGAGAAAATATGTAAAATGGCTTTGAAAATATAAACCTAGTCAAAGGTAATAGTTGTGTATCTCTCAAAGAGTTCTCTGGGAAGGTTTTGTTAATCCTGTAGGATTTCTGTATACCAGAAGTGAATTGTGTCTACTCTGGTGATTTTATTTCAGCTGTAATCATAGTTACTCTAATTTCTGCTTCCTCAGTGAGCTGGACCTGTACAGAAAGTAGGATAACTGCATGTCAGACATAGATGTGATCATTGCAGACATGGAGTGTCTCGCACATAAGCATCCATGACTTAAAAGTAGGGGGTGGAGAGTCCTAAGAACAGGATCTGACTCCCTTTTTTTAACTTTAGGAAAGTCATTTCCTCTTTCTGGCTTAGTCAAGCCAGCTGTGAAAAGACAGAACCACCGCATCCCAGCTCAGGGATGTTATGCCAATTTGTGTTTTCAAAGTGCTGTGAAATAAGCCGTGAGCTGTTGTGAGGCAAGAGCTGGGGAGCTTGGAAAGGATACGGAGCCCTCAGTAGCAGGGAGATAAAGGGTCCATGGCTTCTAATTGGGAATGCAGCAGAGCTCTGTAGGGCCGCACAAAGAAATCGGCTGGATTTTATGCGCATACCTCTGCCCCAAAAGCTATAGTGCTGTTTATGGAGTGAAACAGCAGTGTTCCAAGTAATTCAGTGTGGAGAAACCCACAACTTTTCAGAATGGCTGGATTCTAAAACATGCAGTAAAAACACCATCCAAAGTGGTCTGAGAAGCCACTAAGTGATCTGTAGCTCATAATTTCTTCAGTTTCTCTCACTGCATATGCAACAAGCTCTCTGCTCCTTCCTCTTTGAATAGCCCTCTGATAGCAAATGGTTTCCTTTTCTGTGAAAAAAATCTCTTTAATTGCTAGTCCACCTTCCTGTCTCTACAGCAGGGTCAGTAAGCCCAGCTCAGCGTCTGGGAGCTCTACCTCTAGAGTTATATTCTGGACTTTGTCTGGGTTCTGATGTCCTTCATCCTTCTCTGTCGATGCTTCTTGTGAAGGATTTTCACATCCAAGGGACAAGGATGAAGGCAGGTCATCCATCCCAAACACCCTTTCGTAGTTCTGAATGAGAAATTCCACAATCTGGGCTTGATACCCAGAGTCAACAAGGCATGACATTGAGACATCGCTCCCTGAGCATGGCCGGATCAGAGTTGGCCCAAATATTATGCCCAGGTTGTTTGGGGACATCTTGTTCTCTTCGTATTTCTCTGCCACCCTGGGGAAGGGAAACATGACTGTTAGGGGCTTCCCAGCTCTCAACCCGGATGCACAGAGTGTACAAATGGAATGAGCCAATACCCCCATTTCCTAGTAGAGAGAGAAACCTCAGCTTGCCAAAGTGCAGCAGGGGAACGGCATTCTGGTTTATGCACAGAAACTCCGGAGAAAAATCTCAAAAGTTGCCTGGATCTGTCTGGGTGGTGCAGCTCTAAGCAGAGTGGCTGCTTCTGATGACCTGTGTTCAGAGCTGGGTGAAAGGGGCCTGCTTCATGTTCCTCCTTGACCTCTTGCTCTGCACTTTAACTATGAAGCATCATCAGTAAGAAGCTTCTAGTCCTTACTGGCCATTAAGACTTTCTCCTTATTGCTGCAAGATGTCAAATAGCCCTTTCTGTGAATGAATTTTTAGCTTCCTCACAACTGCCTATTGGGCTCTAGATCAGGCCTCTCCCCAGTTAAGAAAGCCCAGATGTTCTTCTATACACATTTAGAGCTGTGCTAGCTGCTCCTCTGGTAGTGAGGTCTCAACGGTGATCTCCTGCTGCGGTCAGCACTGGAGCTAACACTAGCCAGCGTGACAGCCAGCACACTCCTCACCTGTACAAGTGTGCAATGAGATGCCGCAGAGTATTGTAGTTGGTTCCAGGCAATTTGCTCAGCAGGTCCTTCATGCACTGGATAGGATCTGAAGGGAAGCCTGTACAGTCTCTCTTTTCTTCACTGGGTTTTTGCAAATCTTTGGCAAGTGCAATAAGATCATCATAGAGCTGGTACAGCAGCACAGGTCCTGAAAGCTGCAGAGAGTGGGAAAAAGCTTGTTACTTCATCCTGTTGGTCTGACACCGAGGAAAACCTTATCTTTTTCTTCTGTGAGACAAGGTTGTACTTCAGCTCACATGCCTTGACTCCCACCAGCTCTCATCCCCATGTCACAAAGGTTCCCTGACTCTAGGGGACTATAAAAAATGTCAAGCACTGCCAGAATTGTCATTTACCTGGGAAAAGTACTTGTGGCAGGCTCAAAAACATGCAAGACCTGCTACTGCTTAGAGATTCAGTCTCATCATCCCATTAAAACTATAAGCAAGGAGCTCCAAGTTCTGGTGAATCAGAACAATTCTCAGCTGATGTTGTAATGTTGCACATAGCATTATTGAACATGTCAAGGCCGGTGACTAGGAGAAAAGATCTGGCAGAACTAAAGCCATCTCCCACAAACAATGTGATATACCTCAGCAACTTGGTACTTAACCAAGGAAACTGGGAGTAGCCTCCTTTACAAGGAAGCATCAGGAACTGAAACCCAGTGTATGCAACTGGTGGAGACCTGCCCTCCCAGCAGAGATTTGGTACCCACTTCCTTCAGGAAATGCTTCAGGACCCCAGTGATATCATGGGGGGAGTGCTCGGAGAGTTCCACCAGGCTTCTTCCATTTTCAAAGGCCTGGCACAGTTTTTCCACCCGGGCCTTGGATCCGCTTATCCGATAGATGCCCTGTATTGTTACAAGGGACAGAAGTCAGGAATTTTGGATACAGAATATGAACAGAGCAGAGAAGAAGAGAAGGTCAGAGCAAGAAATCTGGCAGAATAACTTAGCATTTCTGGATCAGATTTCCCTAAGAGGGAAACTGACCCTGGGGTCAGTTAAAAAGAAAGGAAGGAAGAAAGGAGGGAAGAAGAAAGAAGATACCCTCTCCTTTTTGCTATGAATAACGAGGGGAACGTCACAAAGTGTGATAAGACTTGCTAGTTATCTTCCCTATAGCAGGATATTAGAAATACCAGAACAACAGAGAATCAGGGAGATTTCTTTGTTGCCATTGCGTTCTGTGTGAGGAGGGAAGGGTCAGAGCCACCATGGGCAGTGCATCAGGAAAATATATCTTAGCTGTTTTGAGACAAAAATCACCAAACAAATGTTTAATCAAAACTGTGGAGAGTTTTATCCTAAACCCTAGACTGAGCAGAGTTGTGCCCATCTGCACAGGAGTTGCGGCCATACTACTCACCTGCACTCCGAGGGCACGAGTTTCAATTTCTGAGGTGCATTTCACCACTATGAAGGGAACTTCCTCTGGGAAATCTCGAGGTACTTGCATGAAGTCAATGCCAAAAAGAGGTACCCGGTTAGGCAACTTCTTGCGGCCACAGGTGATCAACAGGTTCTCTAGACACTTCTTGTGGCAGGTCAGGTAGCACTGAAATGGCAGAATCACCCTCAATTATCACAGAATCACAGAAAAGAATCACAGAATGGTTGAGGTTGGAAGGGATGTCTGGAGATCATCTAGTCCAAGCCCTCTGCTCAAGCAGGGTCATGTCCACGTTGCACAGGATCATGTTCAGGCAGGTTTTGAATATCTCCAGAGAAGGAGACTCCACAACCTCTGTGAGCAACCTGTTCCAGTGCTCTGTCACTCAATTATGGTCTAGTTACAGCCCAGACTTCAGCAGTGTCTGGGTCTGTTGTTCAGGTCTCCTTGGAGGACTTGTCCCGATCCCTTCCTCTCTGCGAAACTACCATGTTGCCTTCAGTGCGGTGGAACAGGAGGGCTGCTTGGGGCAAGTGGCAGTTCATAGCTTACTTGCTCATGAACAGAAAAATGTGCCTCAGGTAGTACACGAGGAGAAAAATCATGTAACTTATAGAGGGGTCCTTCATTTCTATAGTCCTTCAGTGAGATTATGATTATATCACTGGCTCCCATACAAGGCATCTGCAATGACAGCTGATTAGTTCCAGCTCTCACCTCCTCACACTCAAAGCCATTGACCATGAAGGTGTCACATTCCCTGCATTTGGATGGCCCCCGGAGCTTCCTGAGCCGGTGGGTCTGTGCCGCGCTGGAGAGAAGGATGTTCTTAAACTGCTGCTGAGACGTTCCATTTTCTATGGAAACAGTATTTAAGAGCTGATACGTAAGCAAGAAAGCACAGTCGGCTTCCACCATATCAGTCAAATATCGCTCACTCTGTATTGCTCACCATTTTCAAAAGTTTGCAATGAATCTCTCTCTTCAAAATCATCTGAGGAGGACATGGTGCCAGTGGATGGAGCTTTTAGCAACTTCCTGCTAGAGTTTCCTTGAGACAAGAGAAAATATAAACAGTTCTTGTCTCCCTCATAATGCACAAAGTAGTTCAGTGTATTTTATTTCCATTTTAGTTTTTGGCTTCCATATTAGGCAGGAATTTCTGCTGCGCTCACCTGGGCTGGAATTGGGAGAGTCCAGAGATCGAGATTCACAACTCCCACCCAGGCTTTCTGTGTCACTGCAGAGGGACTTGCTCGTACCTACAGAGGATGGATACAATGACTGACCATCCCAAACACTCTTCTAGCTGAGGCAACTAGTGAATGCCTCTGCATGGATGTACATTCTTCTCAATTATTTCTCAAAACACCTGCTCATCTGTGACTGTCCTTTTAGCAGAAAAACAGGCAGGTACTTGAGGGGCCAAAGCAGCAACCTATCCCAGTCGAGTTGGGCTTTAAAAGACTTCTAGGAAATGTCCTTCTGTATTAGAAAAATTTAGACAGTTTCTACTCTAGAGATAGATGTATTTGAGATGCTGTTTGATAGTGTAATAAGTTTTACACTTGTAAAGAAATGTGATTTTCTGTGCTAGAAAGATGTAAAAATGCTAAAGCAAGGAGAGGGCTAAAGCAACAGTTGTGAAAGGCTCTCAGGCTACACTGCTGCATCACAGTTCATCCTAAGCCAGGACTGCTATAAGCAACAGTTGAGCATAAATCAAGGAGAGGTTTACAGACATGGCACTACCTATATATGGGTTTGGGGACAAACACAGGGCCAAAGTCCAGAGCAAACTTCCAGAAAATCCATAAATATGTTTCGAGATGTTTAAAAACAAGAATAGAAAGATTAAGAGAGAGTGAGCGAGAGAGACAGCTAGAGGGGAATCGGCAGGAGAGGTCTCTCATCAGGACAGAGGGAAAAGCTTCAAAAGCAGAGGGGCCAGCATGTCCTACCACAGGCCACAGCTCGCCTGGCAGCACGGGCACAGCTGCGTTTGTGTCACTGGTCACCTGAGACTGATGGTGGTAGCTGACTCTTCTCTGTGACATGCAGCATGTAAGAGACATGCAGATGAGAGGCAACAAAAATCCTGATTTACTTAAGGAATAGATTTCTTGGAATTTTAATTCCTTTGTACAAAAGCATGATCCACAGATCATGTGTGCTGCAGCCTCTCCCAGTCTGAGGAGAGCCTTAAGCATTGCCCTAAGAATGTGAGCACCTCTCCCAGCTCTTTTTGGCTACATCAATATATGTATTAAACTACATTGACTCAAGAGAAAATTAGATCTTCTTTTTTAAGTTAAACCTACCCTGTTCACCATGTGAAGAGAAGTGCTTTCTTGATGCATCTTCTGGAGGGCTCACATCCTTTGCCACAGACGAGGCTCCCGTGTAATGCAATGTCGTCTTTTTTTTGCCACTGGGGGGGGACCTGAGGAGGGATTGCAAACAGTTTGCCGGCAGCGAAGAATAATGGACAATACCCCACCACAGAGGTACTTTATGGATACTGAAACATCTGTTTCAAGGAGTTTACATGTAGGTATAAACTGAGTTTTCAAGGAGACTGTAACAAACACTTGCACAAAACTAGGGATTGCTTCGGGAATTTGTTCAATACAAATGTTCCAATTTGTTCAGTTTCACCTTTTCTATCCACAGGAAAAGTATAGAATAGAAGTCAAATATCACCTATCTGAGAAAAGAGTGATCTGAATCTTTGGCAAATGATAGAAATAACCCTAGCCCCGCAGTACATAACTGCTGCCCTGCTGTTACTGATGCTGATCCTGTGAGCTGCTGCTCATCCCGAGGAAACAAATCCACCTTTAAAGATCTGTTCTCCACTAGTGTTAATGGAACTATGCAGAGAGAAAAGACCCTAACATTTGAAGTTGCAGGGTTTCCTGAAATTACCAATGACAATGCTGCAGCATTGCTAGTAACTTTATAGTCATCTGTGTTTTGAATTCGTCTTTTTTGTTCTATACATTAACTATTTTTAACCTTTAAACTGGAATTTAAGTTTTTCACTTTTTTTTACCTCTGCCCCCCACAAGCAAGTGGCTGAAATTCAAACACCTCCATATGAACTTCTTTCTTCTGCAGAGTCTGAATGAATTCCAGGTATTTCTCACCCACTTTGTATGGTTTGCAGACCTCAGTCAGGTGCTGGTAACCCATTGGAATCTGTTCGGACTGAGTCTGCCTCTGCTTGAACATCCTTAACGTGACCTTATAGAAAGAAAAAAAAAAAAAGAAAGAAAGTATTGAAAGTCAAAGCACAGGTGTTCTTTCCTCCTTTAGATATCACTGCAGTTTACCAGTCTGCAGTTTTTGTGTTATCTATGCTCAGTTACCTGCACTTGTGCTTATTGATAGTTCTGCTTAACAGTGTGGACAAAAATTGTTTGTCACTGGTTTTTGTGGGGTTTTTTCCCTCCAAGTCGGTCTTTTCCTATGGATATGTCTCAAAGCAGTAGTAACTGAAGATGCGCTTATATATCTGAGAATGGTCAGTAACAAAGCAATGTCCAGAGCACTCCGCTAATTTTGACTGTTTGAGAATGGTTTGTTATAGGGTAATTAAACCATAAAATAGTGAAGGATATAGTGGTCTAATCCCAAACGGCAGCTTCCCTGAAACTAGGATGGGAGGAGAAATTAGGAGACTGCACATACCCAGGTCAGCACCTCATCTCCTTGGTAAATGAGTTTCCGAATATGAGAGATGATGCGTGCTCGCACTTTTTCCAGTTCTTGTCGTCGGAAGTTGGCATCACTGATGCACATCTTGTACAGAGCTTCTGTTTCTTGAACCTGTGTGCGGGGAGAAACAAAGCAAGGGAGGAGAAAGCCCTCAGAACAGGGAGGAAGATAGCATAACGCAGTCAGAGCGGGGCTGTGTTGGAAGTAGCAGCACTGTGGTCTAAACTCATCACCTTTGCTTGTGCCTCCTCGCAAGACCGGCGGCGTTTCTCCAGCTGCTTGTTGGCACTGCCAGGATGGGTAACCGCTGTGCTCTGATATTCATCCTCTGCCTTGGCGCTCAGGTGCTTTGCTTTCTCCAGTTCCTCACAGCGCTGTACATATTGCAAACGGGACTTGCGCAGGGATGACAAGGATTCATTCTTCAATTGGAAAAGGAACAGATTTAGGAAACCTGGTGAGGCAGTAGTGCAAATGAGTACAGCTCTGAACTGCATTTCTCCCTCTCCCAGTCTCGGTAGAGTCAGTGGGAGGTAATGGGATCTAGCAGGTAGCGTCGACAGGATAGAGCAGGGATGCTGCTAGCACTCCTCCCCATGCACTCTTTAAAAAATGGAATGTACTTCTGTTCAATTTGGTAAATAGCAGGCTGCGTATTACATAATTTAGTTACTACTTGTTGGTACACGTTTATGTTTCCAGTGCTTGGGCTGCAACTAGCATAAAGGTCAGGCCCATCTTTTGGCCTCTTACCATTTTCTTCTGCTCCTTTATCCACTGATCTTTGAATTCTTTCCTCCACTTCTCAATTTCATTCTTCTTGGCTGACAGAGGCTGAAGAGGAACAATAGTTATGACAGCAACAATTCCTTACAAGGTAGGAAAAAGTATCTGACAGATGAGCTTGTGACATTAAAAAACAAGCTTTGCAAGATACTTCATTCTTGGAAAGTAATGCTTCTTTTTCCCTCAAACTTGGTGTGAATTTCCTCTTCTCCCTCTTTTTCTGCCTCTCAAACTAAGATATACCACTTCTGTTAGGCCTTTGTAGTGCTCTAGCAACTGCCTCTGTCTAGTTTTTCAGCAAAGTTGTCTAACCTAAGCAGAAGTACAGTACCTGATAGAATTCTTTCTGTTGAAGCAATCCTGCAGTCTCATTAGCTGAGTTTCCAACCATAATGTCATGTTCCAGGACCATTGTGTAGAGTGCCCGAAGAGGCATGTTGGACTGCAGAAACCAAAAAAGTCAGTATAAAATGCTGGATACTCACTGCAGCTTTTCCAAATTAAAGAGCTTGTGTTAACTATGAGCAAGATTGATCACAGAAAGGAAAGAGTGTCTACACTTTTTAAATGAGCAGAGGTTTTTTCAGACAACTCAGACTGCAGAATGCTGGAAGCAGAAGAGCTTTTATGGTGTACAGTATTGTTCTAACTTCTTGCTAGTTCATCACCCTGTCTAATTTTCTAAACAATCACTCCATGTGTTATACACATATAGAAGAAAAAAAATAATTGTTCCAATACTGAGAGGCTTAGGAAAGTCTTTGGAGGGGTATTTGCAGTAGGGATATTTGGAGGGATATTTGTTGTTGGACTCTGACTTCAAGCAAATCATGTGTGCAGACTGCCTCACATTGGCTTGGTGTAGGATTCCCTTCCTTCTCCTCTGAAAAATCTAGTTCTTTTCCCCATCAGAGGCCAGACAGGTAGACTGTGCATCTGGTTATTCTGACATGTTTTTGACGTTTAGAGTATTGCTAATCTTCTTACTTAGGGCTGTCTGTTGAAAATTGCTGAGCTTCCCTGGGTTTTCCTTGAACAAAGAGGAAATCCCATCATGCAGGCCTTATTGCTATCTGGAACAGAACACACCTAGCTCCAGGGACAGTGTTTGCACAGGGAGATAGTGAACCCTGTGCCATGCAGCAGTGAGGAACGAACAGCACAAGGACCCGTACCTGATGGATAATTGCATTTCTTCCTGATTCTGCTATCTTCACAATCCCTTTGGCAAAGTCTGTTTCTGTAAAGGGGAAGAGTGGATTAAACGCTAGACCTACAGTAGCACAGGTGTGTTTGTCAAAGCCAGAGGTGCTTTCAGCCAGTGTGGCAATTAGGATCATCCTAACAGAGTTCTGAAGGAGGATGAATTTCTTCTTCAGATAAGAAGAAATTCTCACTTGACGCCTTCATCTTTAAATTCAGCCAAAAGCATGTAAAAGGGGTGATGTCTAGCCTGTTTTTCACTGGTGTATTTTCATGCACAACTGTATGCTCCGACCCTTCCAGTTGCCTATGAAAAAAAACCCAAAAGTGTACAGACTCACAGCTGGTACTGTGCATGCTGATGACTCACCATAATTCAGACGTTTTTCAATCCAGCTAAGAAGCTCTTTGACATATTTACACCACATTTTGGCATATTCAAGGGCTGCATCAATGCCACTTTCACATTTTATCAGCATTTCATCTGCCTCCTCAACTGCAAAAAATAAATCCAGATTCAGAATGGCTCTAGCTGACAGGCAGAGGCTCCCCAAGAGTGATAAAATTGGAGTCTCCTCACTAGTTGGTGCTGTGAAATACTCAGATAACAGCCATAAAATAGGTCTTCACGGAATAAATACCATTATGTTCTATTTCCTGGCAATCCCATACAGTCTCACCTACAGAACCGTACAAGTTCCCGGCAACTTAGATGCATATATCTCCCTATCCTCACTTTTAATTCATATTTTGATTTTTCTTATCTCGAAAATTGGAAGTAAAGGACTTAATGCATTATTGGGTGACAATGGGTGTGTTGGGGAATTGCAGTAATGATTCTTGTTCCCTGGCAGAACCTAAGACACATCCATCACACTGTAGTGAGAAATTCTAACATCATTTCAAGTTAAAATCTGTCACCAAACAGCTTAGAAAATGTACTTTTCTTCATATAAAGTCCCCATGAAGCAAGGAAGGCTTTTATGTTGCATTTTTATGATGCTAGCAGCAAGTACAGAACAGATAGACTCTTCCCAATGGACAGCAAAAACACTTCAGATAATCCCAGGTTTTATTGAGTAGCCACTTACTGTGCCGTCAGACTAGCAGATTTTTTTTGTAATTATTGTCTCAATACTTAAGAGTGAATACCTGCAGAGACAGGGAGCTCGGCATACACTAGAGGAAGCAGGAAGCTCCGCCAGGCATCGGCCTTGCTGGGAACTGGCTTGGGTTCAGTTCTAAACTGAGGGCAGCAATGACAGGTCTGCATTACTCATCTTTGCTATGAGACTGCAGGACTAGTGGCCAGGTAATCAACCAAATATTCTTATGTCACCTTTTTAATTTTATTTCATTGTGTTACCTGTTATGTCTGTCTGCACTTGTCTCTCCGAACTGTTTTTGCTCTTGCAGAAACTTTCACCCAGCTGTAGCGGGGAGAGGAAAATGGTGAAGGCAAATGAGCATTCAGAAGTTAAAAGGTTTTTTCAGAAAAGTTATCCGCAGTGCTTCTTTTGCTTATCTAAGCATCTCAGTGCAGCTAGGATAATAGCCTGAGATTCGACAGAGGGAATGTAGCACGGCACAAAAGTCTACCACTAACAAAAATGTGGAGAGAACAAACACAGCATTAACACAGAGAGATTAAGGCCAGAAAAGAGCTGCTATGACTGAGTGTTTCCAGCTCTCATTTTATCACAAATCTCAAAATATTTGATCTTTTTCTTAAAGTTTAGCTCTTGGGATAATATAATTACATGAGAAAATCGGCTACCAAAATAAAACTAAGTTTCCAGCCCTTTTGTTTACACAGAAAAAATATGAAATGAGGCTCATTATCCCCAAAAGTCTCACACTGCCAAAAGCAAGCAAAAAACCCATTAATTTCTATTTTAAAGGGATTCGGTTTCTTAAGGCCAAACCTTTAGGGGTTTTTGAAGACTGATGTGCACCTCAAATATATTTTGAGCTTGCTGGGCTGCTGTCTTGTCTAATCTTTTTCTTAGCACACAGAACTTAAACTAGCAATTTTCACATTTCCTTTTTCAGAAAAAAATAAATCCAAATAGTACATGCCTGAACATTTCCATTAAATATTATCTGTTCTGTTGCCACCACCATTATTCCAATAACTGAGTGTTAAACAATTCTTTGCTGTCTACTCAAATAAGAGACATAACTTTTTTTCAGCTGGTCACCAGAAAAACAATTTGAATAACATTCACTTTGGCATGGGACATTGATAATTTCTTTTTAAAAATGGATCTCATTCTTTGCCTACCGGCACGATCTCTCTTTCTGGGGTCAGGTCTTTATCATCAGTGCCATCCAAATCACCAATGAACATATCAACTGTCCTGTTAAAATACAATGCAATGCAATGCAATACAATACCATACAATACAATAAAAAACAGTGAGATTGTAATGACTCAGAAAACTAGTTCTATCCCATTTCTTTACATACGCATTTCCAATTGAGATTTCTATGGCATCTAGGCTCCGGAAAATCTCACTGTACCGCTTCTTATTTTCAGGTCCTCTCTCTTGACTGTCAAGACCTGGAGTTGGAGAAGAAATCGTTTCACTAAAGCGCTTGGCCCAAAGTTCTTGATATCTACAGGACAGTTTCTAGTGATGCAGTGGAACATGGCTTAGCTCTACTATCTTGGGTGAATTCACAGGAAAGTGATGAGCTGTGATGGCCTGGCAAAGCATAACAAGGTGAGGACAAAGATGAGATGAGAATTAAAAGAAAAGATTAGAAACGCTATATTTGTCAAGATTCCTTGGGCAGGCCTCCCTGGAAAATAAGTTAGTGCATGTCCATGGGAGACACCGAAGCCGTTTTTAAGGGCTTGCAATCTGATGCAAAATCAGCTGTGAAAACTGTATGGACTTCTTTGTAATAGATGCTCTGAACTAAAGTCAGGATACCGTCATTAGTTCAATGTCAGCAACGCGCCGGCAGGCCCGATGGAGGGACTTAGAGAATACAGCGGCCTGCTCTGTGCTTCGGTCAAGTAAATGATCAGCCTCTTATCGGGAAGCCAGGCCCAGGTGAACAGTGTATGTGCATGCTGTTAAAACGTGCATTTTCAGAACCATGTGCACATGATGATGGAGCAGCAGACATTGCTGCAGTCAGAACTGCGGTGTACAGGCAGGGCTGAGTTGCCCAAGCTGTTAATTCCTTGCATATCACATGCATGTGTTGCAATGCGTTGTGCGCGGTGACCATTTCTCAACCTTAGGCATGCTCATTTATGGTGATAATCTACATTAGGAAATATTCATCTCATTCAGTCCCTAGTGGGTACAATTTATTGAGCATGCAAAGCATAAAACGTGCATGCCCCCACATGAGACGTTTTCAAACTAGGCAATCCATTCCTGCCGTGGAGCTTCATAAGGGCTAAGCATATTCTGCCAGCAGTTGCACAAATAGCAGGGTGGAAGTGAGCATAGGCATTTTATACAAAGTGATCCATCCAGTTAATCTCACTTTCCACTCAGTTGTATACTGTGACTGAGAACAGAAACTAAAATTGACTCAGGCTGAAAGTCATTGCAAAAAAATAAAAAAGCATTTTAAAATATAGAGCTGGGCACTTCTGGTGTAAGTAAAAGAAAACTTCACTCTTCTTTGTCCCCTTGACATTCCAAGAAACAGGATGTGGTTGACCTAAATCTAGACTTGCTTCACTGGTAGTTGAGTCTTTGACAGTCACTTGCAAATGTCACTCAGATGATGCCTGATGGAAAAGTCAGTTTGTGTCTCATTTAGGTCTAGCTGTGCCTGGGGCTTGTGTCAGTCCTGAAAAACTGAGATTTTCAAGTCAGGTTTTTATTAGGAGCTGCCATACCATTAGCCTATCAGCTTGAAAATATAAATAATAATAAACCACTGAGGCTTGAAGGAACTGTAACGATCCATTCAGAATGGCTGGCCTTGCTTGGAGAACCTAGAAAAGGAATTTAAAAGCACCAGAGGTGCCAATACAGACCTGTAAATGTACCCAGCATGAGTTCGGGTTAATTTTTATAAATCAACAATTATTTCCCACCTCCTGTGCAATGAAAGTGAGCAGCCTGAAGCTCAGAACTTGGCTCACCTCTGCTATATTAGTGGCAAGACCCTGTGTTGGTAACGAGTGGCATTAAGGCTCTGGGAGACAACTGTAACCCAAATGTCCATGAAGTGGCTTACAGGGTTAACTTAAAATGCCTGGTGCAATCATAATGGATCCTGTACCATGACAAGAAAGGCAATTCCCGTAGCCTGTCATAGCTTCAGGACTGTAACCCGGATTAGTGGCAAAAGAAAGATCTTTGGGGCTGGCAGTTTCTGAGATTGGCAGCTTCTGACTATTTTTCATTAGTAGAAATTCTCTTTACTAGGTCTCAAGCTTAACGGTTCATAGTTACTTTACAAAACGTCTCATTCTGTTTTTCTGGAAGAGACACAAATTGTTCATAATCTGAGGCATAACATAACAAACGAAAGACATATTAGTTTAATCTGAATCCTAACCAGTCTTGTTACTTTTCCTGAGTAGATACATTTCACTTCTGTTGTTTACCACTAGTAGAGGCAGAAGGATTGTACAACAGGAAGAAGTGACTCAACTTAGCAGCACTGGGGACGGGCGAAATGAAACATGCTGCTTTTGAAAGTGATCATTGTAAGGCACCATAAGATAAGAAAAAACCTCAGGTTCTCACAATCTTTTTGCTTTATCTTAAGAAAGATAATATTATATGTAATACTACAAAAGTGGGAAGTTAGAAGAATTCCAAATAAAAAGTTTCCCTAGCCTTGCCATATCTGATGTTTTTAAGTGCCTTCTCACAAGCTAAAAACATATGCTCTCCCATATGCAATCCCTTTGTCATTCAGGAGCAACACGGGTTTCTCCTGATGTTTGAAATCTTTCAAGTGGCATTTTGGCACCTACAGTCCTGGGCCAAATGATTCATGTGCCTCGTACATATCTCATGAAGGAGTTGCCTCAAATGTATTGCTTCTCTTCATCGTCGCAGCTCTTGTTACTCAGCCATCTGTCAGACACTTTCAAGATGTCCCTTCCTGCTTTCAACCCGATTAACAGAGCACCCTTGACTGTCCACTTGCTCAATGTGTATACATTCGCCTGTGCTGCCTGGCAGGCTTGTGGGGGCTCCCATAAATATGCATAAACTAATTCATCTTTCAAATCCCTGCTCAAATCCCTTTATCTTGTCCAGTGATGACTGGGTAGCAGGCTCACAGCGCATACGCTGTAGTGCTGCTACACAGGCCTGGAAGGGACTCTGGCTCATGGAGTCTAGTTAGTCCTTTGCCAATTCACTGTAACTCTGCAGTCTTATTTATAAAGCGCAAGCTTCATTTTAAAGCCAGTAATGTTACTGGACAGCCCAGTGACAACAGGAAGGCTGATCCAGAAACTCACTGTTTTGGTGATTTAAAACCGTCTATATTTCTAGTCTCAGTTTCCTGAAGGACAATGTATCCTTAGTCTTCTCCTGTGTCTGTGCCTTAAACAGCTTGTCAGACTCTCTAATTGCTTGTTTGTGCTTCCAAGTGTGTTCTCCTATCCCTTGTCTTAAACATAGCTCTTTGGAACACAGGCCATAGTTTTATTCTTGGCTTGGCACTCTCCAAATAAAAATTAAATACTAAGAATTGGTATTCAATACACTTGTAGTGAAAAACTACCTTGAGGCAAATGAAGAGGCTTAACATCATGTAATTAAACACCTTGATGGTCAGCAGCAGAGGAGAAATGGAATAACATAATTTCAAATGTGCTGTTTGTATGCTATATAACTTAAAATTTTTAAATGCTATTCTTTAATAATAGCTACTCAGATCATCTGGACTGGGGGCTCTGACATAGAATTCTCTCACAGAGATATACCAGCTGCATTGCTTTTTTCCTCTTTTTTACCTTCAAAATATACACATGAAGATATGGCAGTTCTTCATGATGCCTACTAACTCTTGGACAAAGAGTAACGCATGAAAGTTGGAAAAAAGAGCCACTTAGGAAATGATTTGCTTTTGTCTGATGAACTCAAGAGGCCTGAACATAATTTACTGTGATGGGCACAGTTATCCCAACTGTACAGATGAGGAAACCAATACTGAGGCTACCCAAGCACCTAGCAATTTTCTCCTAAAGCAAAAGGTTGGTTTGAGAAATTAGTAATTGCCGCTAGACTATATGATGAGCTTTATCTTCCTCTTTTAGTCTGCTTTTAAAAATCTCTGGCCTTGAGGTCAATAATGATTAGGTTCTAAATATCAGTGTAAGCCATGGCAAATGAAAACAGTTTGCAAATATTATCCATTTTGCATCCTCTGCAAGTGATTTTGTTTAGTCAGTTCATACTCTCCTTGATATCAACCAGCCCTAATGATGGGGCAGAAATCCGTTCCAGCATCAGCAACAGACCTGCATACTAAAGAAAAGAATCTCGATGTGGCTAATGCTATCACCACAGCTGCCCAGCTGCCATGCAGAACTCTGCCCCATCCTCGAGTCTTGAATGAGATGAGACTCATCTGATGCGCATCTACCTTCTGAAAAGCACATTGCTCTTCGCCTCCTTTTGCTGCTGTTGCGGAGAGAACGGGCTCCCACTGCAGGGGGTTGCAAAGCATCATGGATATTTTTAGAAGGAGAAGTTCTCGTTCTACAGATTAGCAGAAGCATCACTTCCCTTTCAGCCACAGTTACCATGAAATGAGGTAAATGTCTGAACCCTAATTTACACTTCAGTGTGGCACCATTGCTGAACATCAGTATCACGAGCCTGTTTCAGGAGTTCCTGGTAATGCCTTCCTCTTTGAGCTCAATTCTACCGTTTGCGACACGATACCTGAATTTTTCCACCGGCTCAGATCTCCCATTTCTGATAATACAGTCAAGCTGCAAAGTTGGTGAGTGCACGCATGCATTCTGCCTGCACTGGGGCTTCATTTGCAGTGCTTAATATATATGCATAATAAGCCATTCTGGAAATTGTGTTTCATCTGCATATAAGGACTCATGCATATAAGCAGCAGCTATATAAAATCCACTCTTTGCTAAGTCACAATACAGTTTCAACCAGATACAGAATTCAAGTCTGAAAACTCTCAGTTGTCTTCTGCCACTCCTGTCTGAAATCCTTCTTCCATCCCTTAGTGACACTCTGCTTGTAGCTAAGAGCAAAGAAAGCTGTGCCAGCTGCCTAGGCCAGTGTCTCTCTACCTACCCGAGGAAGGGTTTTAGAACAAACTAATCCCAGTTCCCTGAAAACAGTTTTGCAAAACCAGGTTCCCTTCTCATCTGTCACTATGTTATTTCTCACATTCTCTTCCTACTTCAATGGAACAAAGGCCCTCGAAAAAACTGAACTTACAAATCAACTAATTCTTTAGGAGGCCAGAACTTCTACTGAGCTGCGCGATCACCCACAACTGACAGGAAATAGACTTGCAAGGTCGGATGTCTTAAATAGCAGTGCATGTCAAAAAGGTGCTCAATGAAACACGTCAGGGGGAAAAAGGAGA